TTTTGTTTTTTAATCTTTTCTGACAAGCAGGGAGGAACTAAAGATAGTCTTGTTATATCTTTCCAGGTAAGAGCTTTGCCATGTCTCATTTCATTCCGTTTAATCTGTGCACTTAATTACCTTTAATGCAGACTAATCTGGTATTAATGCCAAATGGAAGCCACAAAATAAATTTACCAAGAAGCTTTAGATGAACTTATTAAGGCTGAGCTTGATAACATGGCTGTAAATAACTGTGTGCATTACAGTCACAAATCGAGGAGACCTTGCGGGACTGGACGGTTTAAGCCCGTTTTGCAGTCATTATCCTTGCAAACATTGGTTCAGAATGTTCTGCTCAACTCAAGCTCTGAACGAGGAACAATTTTTTTATTTTTATTTTTTTACAGCCAAGCGAAGACAGACATAGAAGAGCATGTATTACAGGTTTCTATTCCTTAGGCTTTTGTTACCTTAGGCTGAGGCTGTGAGATTTGCTGACTTCCTGTTGAATTGCTCACGACATTTAACATGTTTACTATGGCAACAGGTATCTGCTCTGCTGTGCGTTTCAGAGACTAAAAGATTTTTTTTTTTAAAAGTACTCCATCTGGGATTTTTTTTTTTTCCACTTTCTCTATAGAATCGGACTTTGCTGTGTTGCAAAATATGAGCTGAAGTGGACAAGCTCAACAAGATTTTGCTTGTCAGGCCGATCAGTGCGAGGATCCTGTCAGAGCTCAGGCTGAAGTGAAGATATTTCCATTTCACACCCGTCACACTGAACAGCCATGGGTTCGTATTCAGTAAGTAGAGTTCAGAAACGAAGTAAAAAAATAAAGAGGAAGCAAACAGCAGCTTGCTTGAATTCAAACCCATGTTTGAAGAACGATTGCTTTGACGAAAAACTCAAATGTAACAACTTTTTCATCCTAGATACACCTTACAAATGTTTTCTTTTCTTTTTTTAACATTACGATAGCAAACTTTGGATTTAATTTGTTGTGTTTACGAGGCACCAGCAGTGCATATTTGGGGCGTAGAAGAAATATCCTATCAATATATAAAAAGATATAAAACGATATCCCAAGCTTTGTTCAATCCATTGTTTAAAAAAAGCAAAACAAAGTGGTTTGACAAAACCGCAAATCTACCGAGGCCTAAACTGTAAGAAGAGCGTTCCTCAATGAAGCAGCGAAGAGACCCACGGTAGCTCTGGAGGAGCTGCACGGATCCACGGCTCAGGTGTGAGAGTTTGTCGACAGAACAGCTTGAAATTTTCGAAACCATGTGTGATTTTCCTTCCTTCCCACAACAATGAGCCACTTTTGCGGTTGATCTATGACAACGAAATCTAATAAAGTTTGTTGTTGAAAACATACAAACAAATTCAACGGGTTTGAAAACTCTTATAAGGTTCTGTTCAGACTAACTCAGACAAAAGGTCAGTGCCTGCTAAATCTTCTTCTGAGAGAATAGAGATGTGATTTATTTAGCTGCAGAGTTAGATAACAACAGAAACCTTGTTGAATTATATATTTCATAAGTCTTAAAATCACTTTATATTATAGTCTGTAACTTATTAAAGTCAAAGTGCTGACAACTTCACTTTTTAAAGTAGAGGGAGTCAAATGATTAGGATGTGACAAATGTTCAGCTCTGTATTAGTTTCATTGTAATCACTTTATAAAGATAAGTTCAGTAAAAAAAATATATGATAGCAGTTTAAATGAACTGATTTATATCTGTTCATTTAAAATTTGATATCACAATAATTCCAGCTAACTTATTTTTTTTATCAAAAGGACTTTTCTTCAACGTGGTTTGCGTTCACATGATACTGAATGTTTTCAGAGTCAAATGAAGTTTCTATAGAAGCGAATACAAATCATTTTTTTTTTTTTTTTTTACAGAGGGGCAGATGCTGCAAAAGAAAAAGAAATTATCATTTTTATGCCCCACAAGATGTTACACTGTTGATTTATTTAAACTTTTGCAATGTGACATATCTAAGAGAAGAAAAGTAGCCTGTGAATCTCTGCTGCCAATCTCCGATGAGGCTCTGCTTGTGCTGCAGTATCTGCAACTACATCTTTTATAGTAACTTTTTATTAGTGCTACACATCGGCTCCTCTACACAGAGCAGCTTTCACTCCGAGGTGTTAGTGGGTGTTCGCCGCAGGGTCTCCGCTGTATTTCATCTAAGTTCATCTTTATTGGACTATTTCACAATCAGTTGTTTCACAGGGAGAATGAGGTTCTTGGAGTTGAATCCAGTATTTTCTTGTCCACAAAACACAACTTTTTCTTGCTTAAGGATGAAATATCTGCTCACGGACAGGACTTCTTGCTTGAGAGTCAGATGAGCTGACCGAAGATCTCCCTTCTTTCTACCGGCACGCCTCCCTTTCAAATTGACAGTGGGGCATTTCAACTGGAAAATCAGGACTGGGTCGCTCCGGTGTTGGTGGACATTCGCTCCGAATGAATTGGAGCGTGGCAGTGAGTTTGTCTGTGCATAATATTCAATGGAGAGCAATCAAGCTGTGCACACATTTACAAAGTGTTTTGTTAACGGACGTCCATTTGCAAACAGCAGGAGCTGATTGAACAAAAAACGCCTTGTTGGGTGCTGTGGTGGGAACCATTGCAGGTTTGAATCCCGGCCTGGTGACTTTTGCCGCATGTCTTCCCTCTCTCCCATTGCTTACTTTCCAAATAAAGGCCTCTAGAGCCAAACAAAACTTTAAAAAAATGCCTTGTTGATGCCAGAGAAGAATTGGCAGTATGCTTCAAGAAGATAGCAAAACATTAGTTGCTAAAATAATGTCTTGTTATAGCAAAAGTATGCAGAATGTCATCTTTAAACTAACATGTCAAATTTTGAAAAAGACCTTACTGATGTCAATGTAAAATGTTTGATAGTTTTACTGATTTGCTATACATCCGATGTATTTCACACACAGTTATGCATACAAAGTTTCAAAATCCTTTTAAAAACGTCGCAGCCTTTGTGACGTACAAAACTCACCTAAAATCTACAATTCCCGGCCCTGCGGCATTGAGAAGATAAGCCATGCATACCACAACCCCGCATGAATATTGCCACATCTCGGCCGTCGCATTTGATTTTTTTCTGCCTTTTGTGGTGAGATAGAATCAGATTTATTGTAAACAGGATATTATGTTTACATGTAGCAGCAACCCTTGAGTTTGTGGGATATTAACAGGATATTGATGTGCAGAGTAAATGTGCTCTTCCGAGGCCTAACGACGGCTCTGTATCACACGGGCGGGCACGACTCCGCTCCGTGTTCGGTCACGCTAACGAAACTGCACCCCAAAGTCATTTTCAGAGGCAATGAGCCTGCAGAAGCCCGAGCAGGCTCCAGATCTACTCTTACTCCAAGTGCCTCCCCAAACTCTTTATGGTCTCTTAAACAACATTCTGACTTTGTAATGGTAAAAATCTCCTTTAGATGGATGCTAATAAAAAAAAAGAGAAATGATTCCTGGGGGATCGGCAGCCTATAGAAAAGGCTGCATGTGGGGCTGATGTCATCTTAATCTTTCAAATTATGAATGTCACCCAACAGCATTGACAGCTGAGATGTTGCAGCCAGGAAAGGTTGTCCGTGTCTATCAGTGGTCATATCTACTATGTAAAGGCCATTGATTTTCTTTTTCTCTCTCATTGATCTGTTGTGTTGATAATGTTGTCTGAAACAGACTGGAGAATGATAAGAAAAAGAGAAAAGTTGGAAGGATTTAATGGTAACAAAAGCAGAAGAAAGGTGGAAGTGCTGTGTGAGAAACTTGAGTGGGAGGAGTGGGAAGGGGGCTTTGGGAGCTGGACATTATTTATACTAAATGAGGTCAAGACCTTGAGATATACACTGAATCCCAAATGCAGTTTCCCCACAATCACCGTCTTTGCCGAGTGTTTGTCTGCGCGCGTGAGGATGTGCTGGCATTAGTCCACGCAGTCGATAGAAAACCTGCCGGGTCAATGTTATTTTCTCCCCATTACTTAAAGGCTGATTTGAGCATTAGAGCCTCTTTATTCCAGGTAATAATACCTCAAACAAACCCAGATGTGCACCTCAGTCACCGCATGGCCGCATCCTCCTCTCCCCGCCCACATTTTTTCTCCTTTCTGCCCCTTTAAAAAAAAAAAAAAAAAAAAAAACGTCCAAGGGTAACAAGGTCGCTAAAACGCCGACCTTACAGTGACTGTGCCTTCCTATATCTTTGCCTCAGTTGGCCACTTGCTATCTGTTACCTTGGAAACAGACAACCAATGAGAAAGCCGATCGGAGAGGTAAGGTGCTCTCACCAATTTGGACCGCTGCATCACTTTCTAAATACCACTTACAAGCAGAGCACATTATTACTGTTCCCTCGTAACAACAGAACAAAATCTGCGGTTTCTCATCACATAGCACCTATGTGGCACCTGTTCTTTGTTGTTGTTGTTTTTTTAGTTAGTTTGTGACAATAGAGTGTGAGGTGAGGATATCTGTTGGTGGAAGGTTTTCCTAATAATATTAGGAAGAAATGCAGAGCTCTAAACCTCAACTGAGAAACACCAATTTAATTCCCGTTTTTGTCAGTTTCTTTATTAAACATATGCAGCATCTGCATATGTCTACATATGCATATGTAGACTATTTCTTTTAAGATTCAAAATTGAAGATGCATATTAAAACACTTTTTGCTTATAGCCCTGCCATTAAAATCAAGGCTAACCTTGTGGTTGTTTTTGAAGATGTTGTTCAGTGTGTGTGTGTGTGTGTGTGTGTGTGTGTGTGTGTGTGCATATGAGAGAGGAGGTTCAAGTGCTCTATTTTGGAGCTGTTCTGCTCCACTTACACCAGCACCTGTTTGCCCTGTCTGTTCCAACTATTGCATTTTTCTAAACATACTGCCTTTCCCCCCCCCCACTCTTTCTGTGTTACGTAAAGAATAATCTTCATTGTTTTGCACTTGTTTTGCTTTCTTGCTTCTGTCTTCGTCTGCAGTTGGCGGGGTTTATCTACGCCTGTTATGTGGTCAAGCTTATTTCTGAAGAAGAAGATAGTTGTAAGTACTAAACACACACTCTCACATGCATGCAAATAAATAAATAAATAAATAAATAAATAAATAAATAAATGAGCAAAATGAAGTGGCTTGGTGCTGTCCCGTTTCCATCCTAACAGCAAATTGACTAATGGTTAGTAAAATCAGAACCAGTTTGCCTTGGTAGACCCTGGCAGAGGAAAACCACCCTTGACAACACAGCTCCTTGGGTCTTTGCAGCAATCAATCACCTGACTGTGTTGAAGTGGTGATTCACGGAGGAGTATAAAAGTGACTTGTGAGTGAGAAATAAACAGAAGTGTTTCCACACAGAGATAGAAGCACAGGGAATGCAAATTCAGCTAATGATGACATATTTCCAATTAGCTTGCTCACCTAAATGGATTTTTTGTCATGTACTATTACATAAATTACATCAGGGTGGCAGCCACTAAAAGCAGGAAAACATTGCACACGATCAGCTATCATGAAGACATTTCAAAACTATAATATCATAACATAATGAATAGCGGTTAGTCCTTCTTTTGTTGCCAAAACAGTCCTGACCCCAACTTGCCTGTGTCAATAAAAACAATGCATTACAGGTTAAAGAAGGAAACCTCCAATTAGCTTAGTTTTTCTCAGCTAGCTTAGGAAAGCTAGCTTTGAAAAGTTACTTGTAACTTTGACATGGGTGTCAAAGTTATTCCTGATGCAGTAAGCTGAAATTTAAGCTGACAAAAGTCGCTTTCTTTTAGCTATAACTGCAAGTTGGACTCAAACATGTTGATGAGAGCAAAAAAACTATGTGGACAAAAACTGGCTACCATCCTGATTAGCTAAATTAAGCTTTGTCCAATTGGCGTACATGTTTTATGTGGTAAGCGTAGTTGTGTATGTGACTTATCTCCAATATTATCACACGTAATTAATTGAATAGTTTTAACCAAGGCAATTCACAAAATATGCATTGCAGGGTGTTGTGAATGGAGAAATCTCTAACATCTTTTGCTGGTCCATATATATTACCTATATTCAGCTTGCTAATGGAGATATTTAAAGTGAACGCGCAGAGTTGATTGGGAAAAGCTTCTGACTTTTTGATGGTGTTAAGCCTTTAAGTGGTGACATAAAGTTTTTATTTACTCATCTTTGTGGAGTAAGTGCTGATTTTACTGTATAATAGCCGGAGAAAGATTGCCCTTTTAGAATAGCTCGTAATGAGACCGCTTTCCCCTCGTTTTAGACTGCTGCTGGGTGCAGAATAATCAAGGGAAAAGAAAAGCTCAATTTACACCTTTAAATAAGTGCATCTGAGTTTTTGCCACTAAACTTGGTAAGCATTTGATTTTCATAAGAGGTGTCAATGTAGCATGTTTTCTTTCAATTTGCAAAAATGAAAACAACAAAGCTGCTCTGTGCGCCTTTTACCACCCATGTCAAATAATTTTAGTTTTATTTTTCTATCAAAGACTAAATGAAATGTGCTTCGGGTCACTTTAACACAACTCCGCTTGTTATTTCTACGCACAGATAATGCTCAAATTAAACTACTAATGTTCAGAAAATGACGAGCATTGTTGTTTTGAAAGTATTCCTGTAGTTGGAATCATTTATGTGAGTATTTTTAATTTCACACCAGCTCACTAAAGTAATTTGTGCAGCCAAACACTTAAACTTAGACACAGTAATTCTCCTTTATTGAAGCCTAAAGCAAAGCCCCCTCGCCAACTTTATTGCCAAGATGTCCAACTCTCACACTTTTACTGTGAAACCCGTGTTACCTCAACACACACTTAAACCTCACGTCAGATAAAAGTAGATAATTCACTTTTTACTACAAATGGAGCAAAATCTGCGAGGAAAAAAACTACAAGGTGGAAAAAGCTTTGTTTCTAATTTGGTCTGAGGTAATTTTTATTTTTTTTTTTTTTTTTTTTTTTTTATATCAAACAGCGTCCCTGATGTAGAAGAGCACAGGGCATTTTACACAGATGGTACAACTACAGTAACTGCATTAGTGGCTCATGACTATTAATTTTCCCTGACTCGTAAAAAGGGTAGGTCACCATCAAACAGCAAATTACACTGTTGTTTTCTCTTCCTCACACAGGTGACCTCCTTTTCTATGGTTTTACTGAAGGATCCAAAATATTTGTCTTAAGACTTATTTTCTGGCAATTTTGGTCTAAAAAGCCTCAAATAATTAGATTTTATTTGTGTTCAGTTAATGCTGGAGGCAGCAAGTTTATTCTTTTCCTCCTCACCTCATCATATCATTACCATCCATTCATTTATCCAGATTCATCCCTACTTAACAGCCGACCCATCCATCCATCGATCCATTCATCCATCCAGCTGGAACGTTGAACGTTCATTCCAAATAATCAGGTGACCAATGGGCTAGGGGGAAAAAAATAAAGGAAGACAGTGGCATCCAACAAAACCTACTCAGTTCCTACGCAGTTGCACCATGTAAAGTTTACATCCTTCATCCTAATAAACATAAATAACAACATGCATTGCTCCAAATACTTCACAGAATGCACCTTATTTCTTCAACTGTAGACCAATGCCAATATCACTTTTAAATAAGCCGTCATTTATTGCAAGATGAAGGAACAGTGTGACAGGTGCGTGCAAGAAAAATCGAGCTGGTTGGTTGAATGCCAAAAAGTTAGTCATCATGTCAGTAAATAAACGTGCAGTTGAACCAATTCTTACGTCTGAGTGTTTTCTGCCCCTAAAAGGTTACAACATAAAAACCTCTTTAAATGTCAGCTGTTGCTTCAACCGTCTCATTATGAGTGCAAATCTGAATTTTGGCAGACCCGCTGTGCTTACAGACAGCTGCTCAGCTCTGACCACACACTCTTTGGAGAGGTTTAGCGAGTGGCTATGTGTGGCAAAGTAAGAGCTTTAAGTGGTTTTTACATCTGAACCATTACCCTTCCTTCCCGTCCAAACATCCTCCACTCATTGGTCATTCTCTCGTAACAAAAGCGGACAGCAAGGAACGGATGCACTTTGGGCTTTTGTAACGTCAAGTGAAACTTTTACGCAGAGGATAATTGTTTTAGAAAAACACAGAGAAAGTGAGCAGGCACGGAGCGTGGAGGACGGAGTGATCTTCGTAGATGTTCAAAACCAGCATTACCCCAAGCAGTGCGATAAAATAGATGTGAAAACACTTGGCCAATCTATTCAAATCTCTTTATTTTTATCTGTGCATCAGTACAGCAAATCCAATCTATGAGAGTGCAGGAAGGACGCTGGCCTCCAGTTAGAATTTTTAAGTCGGCAAAAATATATATTTAAAGGTGTAATAAGAGATTGAAAATGACTCAATGTTACGTGTCAGTTCTGTGATTTTTCTGTTTAAAATGCAGTGTGCGTGTGTGCATTAACATTAATGAGCCCATTAACCCGAGACCATCGTTTCCTTTATTCAGTTAAAGTTGGTGGTGCTGCTCCTCCACTAGATCAATACCCAGCCATGTCTTATTCAACACCGGGCCAAAGATGCTGTTTGCCAACGCATAAATATTGATAGGTAATGCATGCAGATGGGATGAGTGGAAATGGATTTCTGAAGTGAGGAGAGCAGGGAGCTTTTTTTTTTTCTCTGTTTTTCCTCCATGCTTAAAGCTGATTGGGGCCCAAGATTGACAGTGTGAAATTGTTTCCGTCCCTTTAAAGGGAAAATAAAAACCGAAGGTCAGCGCAGAAAGGCTCTTTATGCACCCGGAGCTTCTTAATGAGGTCCCGGCAATATTTCACACTGTCACATTGTTAAAGTTAGAGAAACAGTTGTAATTTATCACTGTTCTCATCCCATTTTATTAGGGAGTAATTGAATTTCAGTGAGTTTTGAGATAAGGTTTTCTTTTTTGTTGTTTTTTTTCCAACGTCGGGTTTTAACAAGCTCGTGGATGGCAATAAACCAAAAAAAGCCACATTAGCTTTTGCCTCCATGTCTAAATAATTAATGTCTAACAGTTGTCTGTGTTTGGCCTTTCCTCAATTGTTGTGTTTTGCCCTGTGGCTATTGGTTCCCGCGAATTTCTGTTCATTTTCCATCCCCATAGAGAGTCTGTTGGAGCTCGAAAAGCAGCCTTAGATAGGACAGAGCTTGAGGGATGTGTTTTGTTTTAATATGAGCATTTCACTGCTTGGCGTTGTGGAACAATGCTGCTTAAAATGTGCATTTATTTAAATGGGAAGAAGTTTGAAGTTATTATTGGCTTCGTCTTTGTTACTGCATCTTTGTTTTTAAGTTTTGGTTGTCGTCCATCCTTCCTTCCTGTTTACATCCAACAAATAGGGCATTGTTGGGTTCATATTAAAGAGATCTCCAAGCCATTTTAGCCCCACCTGGTTGAAAATGATTATTAATTGACATACTTCAATAAGCACATTATATACTCATTCGTTTGCATTTATTTGAGAGCTTTGGCTTTGTAACATCTCATATATGGGAACTTAAAGTTTAGATTGTCTTCATGTTTTGACTTTTTTTGTTGTTGTTTTTTTCTTACCCTGAATTGCAGCAGTGACCACATTTAGAGCATCAAGTACTTCTTTAACTGCTCAACATCAACACACTGAAATAAATTGTAGTTAAAGACTAATTAGAATTAACAAGTGTCAAAAGCATTATATGCTTGTAATACACAGATAAAACTCTCCAGAATGATTAGGATATCCATGGTAATCTCCTTGTTGCTGAGCCAGAAGTCTTGCACGGCTTGTGGAATGCGGCGGGTGAAAAATCGTCCTGATAATGCGCCGTGGAAGAATAAACACTAATCAGCAGGCTTTGTGGGTAAATGTGCCTTGGGTGAAGAAGCTAATACTCGCTAAGGACCGATGAAGGTTTTAAATTGCTGAGAAAGCTAATTACTCTGATAATTGTATGTGTATATATATGTCTGCGTGAGGCTTTGTGCAGGTAGAAGTGTGCACTACTTTTCATTACAGTCAGTCTTATCGCTCTCAAACCAGCGCAGACAGATTTCTATCAAACACAGTGGTAAACAAAGCCGCACAGGTAATTAGGGTTATATTCAGGAGATCAGTCTGTGAGGACAGAGTAAAATAGGACATTTTTGGTGTTAAGCAAATATTGAAAAATTTAATTAGGACGGCTATTTTTTTTTTTTTTTAAATGGGAATCTTAATCTTTCTGCCGCTCCCATCCAATTTTCTCCGATTGTGGAGAGAATGGGACAGCCCAGACCAGTCTGAATAGCTTATCTGAGGCTTAAATTGAGTCTTAAAAGATTGACAGGCAGCACACTGACAGGTTTAGAGGCTCCATTTCCTCTAATGTTTGGAGGACGAAATTCTGTGGAGACAATTTGACTGCAGCATGAATCAGCAGGAAAGTCTTACTCGCTACACCCTGGCTTCCCAAAAGAGGGGTCCAGTCATTCGACGGGGCAATCACAATTAGCTTGAGCTTTAGAAATGGAAGTACGAAACCGCCGATGAGTAAATGTCATCTGATTATTGCTGTTTCAACCTTAAGAAGGTTGAAAATGTCGATACATTCTGACAAGTAATTTAATAATTTTAATGAGATAACATGCTTAAAGAGTCGGATGTTTGCACAAAACACCACTTATTTAACTGCCTCTTAGCAAGCTGAACCACAACCACGCGTTTTGTTGCCAACAGCAGTTTTATCACATAATTCTGGCTACTCTCTATATCAAAATAGTTTGTTTATGAAATGAGTTTCCTGCCATGAACCCAGATTTCGAACATGCATTACAATATTTTATGGGGTTTGTGCATGTTGGCTTAATGTTACCCTAAAGTAATATTATCCTTCTTTTCACCATAAAGCCTAATTTCCTGAGTGTATTGAATTTTCCCAAGTGGGTAGCTGAAAATGTTAAAACAAGTAATAGGTCTTGTACTTGATGAGTTAAAAGACATTCTTGAATCCATCAGAACCCCGTGCTAAAAAGATTTTGGTGAATGTATGTTGTATTTGAGCCTGAATGTATGATATTTCTGGGCACTAGTTGCTTCTCTACCAACAGAAGGGTTGTTTTCCTTCTCAGATTTTATTTTTGAAGCACCAAGAAATGCTTCTCATACCAAACACATCATTTTTGTTACTTGTATCTTTCATAGCAGATGTCCAAAAGGCATGTGGAGATACAGTTAAGTCCAACAATATTCATACACCTGACAAATTAGGCTTTGTGTAGTGTTTTAATTTTGCCAAAAGGCTTCTTCTGTCTAGACGTAATATGAGTACTAGAGTCCTGACTTGAATCAAAGATTTTTTTTTTTTTTAGGTAACTTCTTTTGGCTCTTCCAACCCCAAAGACTTTACCATCAAATACAATCTAAAAATAAGACTGGAGACATCCAGAAAGCTTAAGAGGAATCATGACAAAGGAATCATTGTTGTAATACCACAAAAAAGATTATTAGGAATTGCATTAATAGTTTTCAGCATGTCATTTTTTTTTAACTATAGAAAAAAAAGCAAAGAATTTTTCAAAGTGTTTTCTTTTGAGAAACGCCTGTCTCATCTCTTATCAAAACACACTTCCAACGGTATGACTAGGTTGTAATCAAACCTATAGGCTGTTTCCATTGAGTGACTCCTAGCTCGACAATGCTAATGCTACTGCCTTTGCGCAGCGTGCTTCACAGACGTTGCTGGAGGCGCTTTAGGAGAGCTCCTTTTCAGATAACAACTCTCAGTCAAAGCAACGCAAAATCCTGAATGCCTTAAGTCATTCTTAATCCCATCCTGACATGCAACATTACAAAATAATTTATTCTATTAAACCGGGACAGTAGCATTTATAAATTTAGAGCACAATCAGTGTTTGTCCAACATCTGAACCTGATACAGTCGATGCCTTCAAATGATTATATTTAGCATAACATTCTGTAACACATCCCTTCAAACGTTGCCATTCAGAGCTTTTTTTTTTCTGTAATAAAATCACCTCTCAGTGCGTGGTGCTTGCTGCAGTTCTTCATTTTGAGGCCTACATTTCAGTTTTATTGAAGACTTATGAAAAAAAAAAAATTATGCCTACTTTTCATCTCCACAGTGACATGCAAATCCACATTGTACTTGATGTTACGAAACCTCGCTGAATAAATGAGAAAGTGTCCCGCTGATCAAGACAAGAAAGTACTCTTTTATGAACTCTACAACATCAAAGAAAAGGCAAAAAAAGGAAGCACTTCCTCTTTTCAAAAGTCCGTGCTCTCCGCTTCAGACTGAGGAGAGCACCCACCTGCTGGCAGCTTCTCAGCTCAGGAGTCTGTGGAGTTATTCTAGATAATTTAGAAGTTAAGTGCACTCCCTGGGCATAAATATATTGCTGCATAATTCTCACTCTCCCTCTTAAAAATGGAATTAGATTTGCATCAAAGTGTTTTCGTACAGACGGAGCCAAATTTTCTCTGGAAGGCATTTAGAAGACTTAGCGGTTCGAGTGCGAGATGTACCAACAACACCTCGGTAGGTGCGTGAGGTCGAAAGAAATAATTCGCTCATGGCAGGAGGTTAACAAATGTCAACCAGCAAAATAGGTGCTAATTACTATTGTGTGTTTGTTTCTGTGTAGTTGATTTTATAGGAGGATTCGACTCCTATGGTTACCAGGGACCCCAGAAAGCCTCCCACCTCCAGCTACAGCCTATGTACATGTGAGTATAGTTGGATTTGTGTATGTTCGCCTGCATTTTATGTCGCATTTGGCTTTTTGAAATGTTACATCCAGTCAGATGGGGGGGTAAAATACCGTGCGCTGGTCAGCTACATCAATAAAACCACCAACTGGTAAAGTGTATGGCATTGATTTTCTTGTTTCAGTGCAAATTTCTACTGTAAAACCTTGAGTGTTGGCATTCATTTGGATGTTATTTCGATAAATACCACCCGCACAAGGGCTACTTCAGAAGAAAGCATATGGCCGTAGCAACAGCACCACATAATAGCGGCCAGCCACTGCAGAACAATGCGCTCAGCCTTATCGCTGGGAGTGCATAGAAACAAGAAAAGCCTCTAAACTCTACAGAATTTAATCCGTGAAGCCGTGGTATGTACTGGAAACAACGCTAATCAGTGCAGGCTCCCACATCTAGTAATCCAAAAACAAAAGCAGTAGACATTATAGACATAGACATTACTATAGACTTTTAAATACTAGTTCAAACGTTTGTTTTTTTTTCCATCACAAATACCTTGAAATGTACCCAGAATATGTAATTTCTTCATCCCTCTTGAGCTTTTGTAAGTTGCATGATGTTACAACCACAACATTAATGTGCATTTTTTTAAAGACTTTTTATGTGTTAGTTCAACACAACAACTTTTAATTAACATAGCGGTTAAATAAAAGGAAGGAATAGAAGATTTTCAATTATTTTTTGTAAAAGTCTGAAAAGGGTACTGATAATTGTTGGTCCTTTCACTCACAGCCGCTATTCTTTGGAGGCTATCTCTTCACCAGCTTTTCCCCTCTACAGACTCAATTTTTGCTCATTATTTTATTTTATTTTTTGCAAAATATCTCACACTCACTAAGACTTGATGGAGAAGAACTGTGACTGTTAATTGTCAAATCTTGCCCCAGTATGTATTTTGACAGGGCGATTCACATGAATGTGTTTTTATCTAAATCATTCCACTGTAGCTCTGGCTGTGCATTTTTGGTCTTTGCCCTGTGGAAAAGTAAACCTCGATCCAGTTTCAAGCCCTTTTCAGCATCTAACATATTCTTCTTTCCTCAAGATTGCTTTGCATGTAGCTCCGTCTATCTTTCTATAAACTAACCAGATTCCCAATCCCATGGCATGATGCAGCCATCACCAAGATTTACAGATGACGTTCAGTGTTGCCTGAGAAGGTTTCATTTTGTTCTTATCTGACCAGAATACATTCTTTTAAATCTGCTGTTACATCCAACAGTCATGTCAATTAGATTCTCACACACAAAAAAATGAAAATCATGCATAAATATTCATCCGTTTTGCTATGATGTGCTTTCGGTGTTGTCCTGACACAGAAGATTGAAGTTTATGTTTTAAGCACCAGTACTACAAGGGTTGTATGCATTAGAAATCTAGCTTATTTCCATAGAAAGACATAGAAATGTTCCCAGATTTTACTTTCTGCATTAGTCAGCTGTGTTCGGGGTTCAGCTTTCGTTTATATTTCGTACATACACAAGCCACTGTGCATAATATGGCATGAACACATTGAGTGTTGAAGGGTAGCATTTACCAGACCTTGGTCAGTTCTTTCATCATTGCTCTCAGTCTCTTTAAATAAAGGTAATTCTGTAAAGGAGGGTTATCATCTAGCTATAAATCGGATTTTGATCCACTAGAATCTTTAGTTTCTCTCCTTCTTGTGCCTATTTTAAATTTAAATTGTAGCTTCCTGTTTTTCTTGAGGTGCTTTGGCCATTTGGTGGACAGAGTGCCAGTAAGTCGTCTGAGAAATGCATCTAGGTGCAGACTGGCACATCGTCGACATCAACCTCAAAGCCTAACTCTGCCCTGCGGGAAGCGCCGAGCCACACAGATAAAGCTACTGTAATGTACCAAACAACGAGATGAGATAATAGTGACTTGGCTGATGTGCACCAGACAGAATGTCAATACCCGTTTGTATTAGACAAGGACCGACGCAAATCAGAGGGAGATGCAGAGGCGTGGAGATGGAAAAACGGTGGACGAAGCGAAAGAGAGGAAGAGAATGAGAGAAACGAAGTGATGGATGACACGCAGGACTAAACAAAGAAAAAAGCAATAAAGGACTATTCTGTAGTTTTATATGTCCCCAGTGGAAGCCATAACCCAGATCATAAATCACCAAGCCTCTAAATAATGCCTGGAAACACAAACACACCTCAGCTGTAGTACAAATACAAATATCTATGCACAAACAGCAGCGCGCGCACACACACACTCATCACTGTGCACACAGACATCCAGACACAGTATTTGTGCTGATAGACAGCTTTTGCTCATAAACATGTTAATCCACGCAGACGAACCTTGAAATGCACACTCTCGTCCACAAACATCATCAATATGCTATCATTGTTTTCCAGCCGTCCTCCCCTTTGTTTGGTGTTTATTGGCTCTGGCCGAAGGGAGTAATAAAATAGCATCAGCCATCCCGTCCCAAAGGAATCTCTCTGTGCCATGGATATATACAGACACACTGCCATGACACATGAAGCTAATAACATAGCCGTCAGCATCTCTAAGGCGCCAGAAACATCTTTTTATTCAAATCTCTGGCATTATTTGCTTGTTAACCATTGTAAGATGAGACGAGGAAATAACACATGACACCTGCAGTTGCACCTATAAATAATTGAATCCCCTCTGCAATTTAGGTTTGCACATCAGGTCTGATCTCAGACACTCCTGGATGCAAACAATCAAGGGCTTCATCTGGACAAGGTGCTCTTGGAATAGAACACGTAAGACCTGGTCTGGTTTCATTGCACGTTAGAAATATGGCCAAAAAGTTCAAAGATGACGTCACTGACTTGCACAAGCAAGGATAATTCTGAAAAGAGGCAGCAAAGGCCCCGGCAGATACAGCTGGAGCATTGTTTGCGACTTTAAAGTTGAAGGAACGGAGGCTGTAACACCTAAGCATGGCAGAAAGAGGAAACTTCCTGAATCCTGAGATTCTGAGACCCTTTACTGACGACCTTCAGCAAGATGTAGACAAGGTGCATACCAATCGCTTGACTTGGACTTTAAGTCATATACTGCCGCTGATCCCAAAGCATAAAAAAATGCAGCTCCAATTTGCTCACAGCTTTATACATTAGCCAAAGTGTTTTGGGGATTTTGTCCTATGGATCAGTCAATCAAAACTGGAACTTTTAGGACCCGTGGATCAGAGTTGAGCACTGACCAGAAGCACGGTGGTTGCTAAGTGAGCTTCTGTGGCTGCTTTGCTTCCTCTGGCGCAATAAATCCTGGGTGAAAATGTCATGCCTGCTGTGAGGACACTGAAGCTTGGGTGCCATTGCTTCAAAACAGGACAGCGAGCACAAGGATAAGTCCTCTGCGGCTAGGCTGGGAAGATACTAAAATCTCTGTTATAGCTGCCTGACTTGAACTCTACACAAATTGCCGGGGGGGAGACTGAACAGGAGGGCAGTCACATGCAAACCCAAGAAAACTAACACTCTGGAGTCTTTTGTCCATAAGGTGCAGGCCAGGAAATGCTTTGACTCACATTTGCAGCCATACCAGCTGAAGACTGCTCTATAAAATACTGAGCATACTTGTCATGACTGGAGCAATTATTAATAATATAACATGTTTTAATTTGGAGCAATATCTGTTTGTCCGAGGAGGCTAATTGTGATTGGATCTAAGTTATTGTCTCTGAATGTCGACACATTCTTACAAAACATCAAACTGTGAGCAAAACAACATGTTGAGTAATAAGGCTCATATAACAGATGTTCAACGTGGCTCAACAGAGAACCTGCTACAACATGGCCATCCACCTGAACTCATAGGAGTTCAAAGAAGGCAATTAGAGCATTAGTCAGAACCGTCCAAGAAGCCCTTAACTCTGCAAGAGCTGCAGAGATCCACAGCTCAGGTGGTGAAGTCTGCAGACTGGACAACTGTTAGGCTGCTAGCTGGTCTTTGAGCTGAGAGAAAAGTGTGAAGAGGAAAGAAATCCAAAAGAAACTTTCATTTTAAGTTCGCTTAAAGACGGGACACAAACTGAACTTATTTTGTGCAAAAACGCTACGTGTGGTGCAGCTCTAATATTCCACTATCAGCAGAGGCAGGAAAGCAGAACAGTGGGACATTTATTATTTTGACAATCACAAAAGTGTGAGCTGCTATCTGTTTCTACGAAATGCACCAAATGCGTTCTTCTCTGATGTACAGTATGTTTAATTTTTAAAGGAGAACCGCTCGAGAAAGCCAGCACACCCACGAGAGTGTTGAGACGTCTCTGGAGTGTTATTATCTCGCACGGAACACATGGGACAAGTGCTTCTGATGTTCTCTTCAAGCAACATTACGCCATTAAGCTTATTTGTCAGAGCAATTACTTACTCAAGGATAATATAGAGCAAAATTAGTTGTGCAGCATTTCATCATAAACCCATTAGCCTGCTATCTTTTCAGTTTTACCAAATATTTCTGCTTTACAGGCTTCAAAGTCCTCATTGTTTGATAACATCTTAAGTATGCCGACGTATATTTTCAGTGAGTGAATGTATGCTGTAAATTTGCAACATGCCTGTCAAATCTGATTTTGTTGTTCTCCTCTCTCTCTCTCTTTCTCTTTTTTTTTTTGAAGGTCAAAATAAACCCGGAAGCCACTCCAGAGGAGCTGCCTTACCAACTATCACTGCTTAGAGCCCTGTGTTTACCACTCCAACTCTCTTCTAACAAACAGAGACAGACATACAGGCAGAGGATAGATCACAGTCTCCATTTCTTACTCCAAATACCCTGAAAAGCTCAATCAGATGGGATCCTCTGGCTCCAGTTGTCTACTGATGGAGTCCCTGATGAAATACTGGCATCATGTGGCCAAAAGTGGTAACTGCAACACTTGTGAGCCACACTTATTTCATATTTTTGGAGCCCTGTCAGGAGCCTGTTATTATTTGCCTCTGTTCTTTTTTCTTTTCTCTTTTGTTTCTTTTTTTTTCTTTGCAAATGAATATCAGCGTTGTAAGGGGGTGAAATAAGGTTGGCTTTTCCTCAGGCCTTCTGGAAGAATCTAAAATCCTGCTGACAAATCTCAGAACTGAGCCCCAGTTCCTTCAAGATACAGTAAGAAAATGTTCCGGCTCAATACTCCTTGAGTTGTTTCACGCAGATGCGCCTGACCAAAGACTTTAAAAAGAAAAAAAAACACTTCTAAAATCTAACCGAGCTTTTTCCGCTCTTGGTGCCTGACAGTTTACTTACCGGACTTCCTACCAGGAACCTGCAAAGGCGACTACTGATGGAGGAATGTCAGACATCGCTTTTCTAAAACCCTACCTTTCCTGCTGCATTCGGGATCTCGTCATTGACTGCAAAAAGTGAAACCGCGCAGGAAGCCCAGACTCGCTTTTTACCTGTGTTTTATGAATGTTGACTAACGGTGTGACGTGACGACTTACGGGCTCGCAGCTCACACATGCATGTGGACAAGATAAGCACGCATGCACACTTACACAGGTCCTTCTTACTAATGTGAATCTTAACAATGTTTACAAAAGTCATGCTGTCTACTCGACAGAGAGTGTGGACAGAAATGGACAGAGGTGACTCTCACCTTTAAGCTGCAGCGTTTCGAGACGACCCAGGCTCGTCTTGCCGCCCTGTCTAAATATTTTGTCTTCCACTCAAGACAGACGCAAAGAGGTCGACAGAAAGAGCAACGCTCCTCCTACCCCTCCTGTCTACAGTCCCCTGAAAAAGTAATAATTTGAGTTTTTTCACATTAAAAGCGTAAACTTCAACATGTTTTGATGTGATAGACGAAGACAAAGTAGGACATTGGTGGTAAAATGAAGGGAAAAAAGGCATGTTTTTCAAAATATTTTACATAGAAAAACCTCAATCGTTTGGTATGCTTTTGTATACAACACCTTTTAATTCAATACCCCTAAATAAAGAGTATAACAGGGAGTCTCGAAGAGTTTCCCTACCCCTTCTCCGCCGGACACATCGTATAACTGGGGGCGTCAAACAGGAAGTCTCTCTAAGTGTTTGGAAACCAATGGGGGGAACCAGGAGAAAAAGTTTGGGAACCACTGCGTTAGCCAAAGCTAATATGGAATAGCATATTCATGTAGTGGTCCAGTGAAAGTCCAGATGTAAATCCAATTGAAAAATCTTTGCCCATCTCCATCCAGTCTGACTGAGCTGGAGCTTCTTAGCAAATACACGTGAAAATACGAATCCATAACACATCCTTATGACTTTTTTTCTTTAAAACTTTGAAAACGGCATGTCTTTTTCCATCAGTGTCACAGCTGTGCTTTGTGTTGGTCTATCACATGAAATCCCAACATAGTACATTGAAATTTGCAACTGAAAAATGTTCACTTTTTCACCGTACTATCAGGTGAAATTTGCAAGTTTTTTTTTTTGCAAGTTTTATCAACTGCCAAACGTGAATTGTTCAAATCAGTTGAAACTAACGCTTGCACACATCCCCAACAGAAAAGACAATCGCAGCCATTTGAGTCTCGACGTGAACTGAAGCTTTAGGAACACATGGACAACATCAAACAATCAAAAAATTTGGTTTGTTATATGTTGATTTATTTCAAATACCTGATTTGACAACCAATGAAATCATGACAAGCGGAGGCTGAACAAATCCCACCTACTATATTTAGCCTCTTTTAAACAGGCAGGAGGCTTAGCAAGCCCCTTCTGTCACCTCACACCTCAACATTTTTTTTTCAAGATGAAAGTGCCAACTCAATCCCACTCATGAGCCACAGACTGGGACCAAAAAACAGGCTGAGGCTTACTTTTTTATGATTTCCTTGTAAGAAAAGAAAACCCAGACATACAGCAGTTGTTGTTTTTTTTTGCTCTTCTACCTTTGTTGGGAAACACAACTAAGGTCTTACACATTTTTGATTAACTGGACCAAATGTTTGAGGCCTTTTGCTGAAGACGCCCTCCTCTCGACGTGCAGAAGGACTGCTACCCTGGTTTAATCTGCAGTTCTCTTCAGCAGTTTACCTGTTTTGTAACAAAACTTTGTGGTTTACGTTCAGAGTCGATCCGCCTGCCCGGAGGACAGAGACGGCGTTTTTTTTTTTTTTTTGTGTGTGTTTGCATGAGGTGTTTCCAAACTGTTGCATATTTAATCTCATGCCTCGTGTGATTCACTGGCTTCATAAAAACGAGTAAAAAACAAACAAAAATATAATAATAGGGGGAGCTGTTTGGGTTGCTGGGTGCTCCTCGGCTTTCTTCAAAGGATCCTCAATGTGAACTTTGTGCGTTTTTTTTTTTTTGTTGTTTTTTTTTTGCTGTTTTCTATAAATAAGAGTCTGCAGAGTTTAGGAGAACGTAGGCAACCACAATGTACAATGATGAAATGTAACTTTGATCTTCTAGACGTTTTTTTAATTAACATGTGGCTGTGTGTACTGTTTTTTCTAGTTGACTATTAATGTATGATGTTGTGTATAAGTGGGGAAAAAAAAACTAGGTTTTATTTCTTCTAACTGTATAGAGTATATGAAATGAGAGAATTTGAGAAAAATAGACTGAAAAAAACTTAGCTGGACTAAAGTCTAGTTATGTCAGGGGTGGAAATTGATTTCTAGTACATTGCTAAGGCTGCAAAGTTAATTGTCACTTCAATGTTCTCAAGATATTTCTTTTCTTAACTAAAACTGACTTGTGGTGAAATGTTTTTGCTCCAAGATTTAAATTGGATTAGTATTATTTGGACCAAAAAAAAAAAAAAAGCAATTAATTTATTTGCCTCTGAAGAAGGTACTTAATTTAAACTCAGCTGGCACTGTAACAAGCAACAATCTCTGCATTTTAACAGGAAACAACCCTTCAACAAGTCAGAAAGGTGCATAAAAAGGTGTGAGTGTGTGTGTGTGTGTGTTTGCTCTTTGTTTTCAGAGTTATGGTGAACTGTACAGCCCTTAACCCAGACCCAGTAAAACCCATCTGGACCAGACCACAGCGAAGCAGCAATTTAAACTGAAGGCAGAGCTCCCTGCAGGCCACTGACCAGTAGCTGGACGATTAATTGAAGACTTTGTGTAGATCTCAATCTTTACTACCATCGAAGGACTAACAGTACTTTTTAAATTGATTGACCCATAAAGATGTGTAAGAAGCCATGAGGCGACTAGATATCTTTTATTGCAGTAGCATCATCATCCAATTAAATAAATTCCAATTTTGACTAGAGTAAATTTATTCAGAGGGAGAAAATGTCTCTCATCAAGAGCTAATTTTTATTTTTATTTTTTAAACAAAATCATTGTCACCACTGTTAGTAGCGTCCATAAGGGTAAGCAAAAGATGCGGTTATGCAGTTTGATAAACTGTTGTTTTCAGTTTATCAAAATGCTAATATCCAATAGATATAGCAAAAAAAAAAAAACAGTTTTTAAAGGATGATATTGTGGATTAAAGGAAAAAGCTTACCAAACCAACCTGGCACTATGTGAAATAGTAATACTGCCCACTTACTGTAATCCTAACTGACCACTTTGTTTTATTGCGTCTGGTGAACTTTCACTTACCCGATTACTGAATGAGCCGTAGAATCAAGACGTTGATTAAGCAGAACGTATCTGATAATGTGGAGCAGGCAAAAAGTCTCATCGGTGACCAAACTTTGACTTAAAGAAATCCAAGGCAGGTGAGAAACAGTCATTTACATCTACCAGTCTGCAAAAGTTTGCAAAGTCCCACTAAAAAATACCTTGACAGCAAAGCAACGACTCATCCAAAATGTAACAAAAAAAAAAACCCTAGAGTAAAATTTAAAGCACTTTAAAACGTACTTGTCTCAACAATAAGACAGAGAAACAGGGCAAAAATTGTTGCTGGCCAAACAAAGCACAAAGACCTTACATTTGTCACAGAACATCTCAAGGATCCCCAAGACTTTGGGATAAATATTATTTAGACTGAAGAGACTAAAATACTTTCTTTTTAACATGTGCTTCCTGTTACATCTGGTGTAAAACTGTCAAAGCATTTAAAAAAAAATTTTTTTTTCAAAAGAACAGTCAGACAAAAGGACATGCGATTTAAATAAGGCAGATGTTTGGTTTTAAGTCAAAAGATGGTTGGAATTAAAAGGCTACTAATATGCACATTCTAGAATAATAATAATTAAAAAAAATAGGGGCGTGTTTAAAACAACAGAAATATAGACCTGGTAGACCAAACCTAAGTTCGTATTGCTGCAATAAAAACTGAGGGTGGCAAAAAATAAAAAAAATCTCCATTCCTCACTATGGGAACATCCAGGATTTTTTTTTTTTTTTTTCAATATGAATTTATTTACCAGTGGTGCCCATAAGTTAGGAGGGTGCTGCAAAGCCTTATCAATAAACATTTATTCAAGCTATTACAAAGTTCTGATGGAAATCCCATTTATTTCCAGGAAGTTTCTCAAGAATGCAACTCAAATATTTGACTTTAGCTTTACTGGTTTAGTACATTCAGGTGAATATTTTGGTTCTGGGTTGATTTGTTACAGTTTGCCACAGACTATAACCATGTGTGTTATTAGCTCCTGTTTTCATGCTGGTTTTCCCACAGGTGACTGTACATAAACTAGACAGCTGGGATTAAAGTAGAGTCTGGAGAATGAAGGTGTGCCGTGTCCTCTCTTCTCTGTTCTCACCTCTGATGGCTTGCAACCTTTATTTTGTGTGATGTTCCTTTTTCAGTGCTGTGGAGTTCACTGCTAAAAAAAAAACAAAAAACCTGAAGCAAAAGACGACAGCCAAAATTCGTAGATCATTCATGGAATAATGTTGCTGTTGTTTTCCGCTGTTCTGGCAGTAGAACATAGCGAAACATGCTCCTCTACTCTCCAAGGGTCATTTAGAATAAGATTAATGAAGTAAAACTCAAACCTTCAGTTTTATGCGGAACGAGAAAAAAATCAATTGGGGATTTTCATAAGTAGTATGCTGCGTTATTGAATGCCTGCTCTAAAAATCCAATCAGAACAACTAAGACGGTCGACAGCAACAAAACATCCTTGCAGAGCTACCAGCCCAAATTGAGAGGCTGCTGCCAAAAACAGCAGTCCAAAAATGTGTCCATTCAATATACTTTCATTTCAATCTTTTTCACTGGAATGAGATAAGAGCATTTTGAGTTAGGGTAGGAGTTTTAAAGTAAAAATGATGCAATGGCAAGCAACAGCCAGCATCGAGCTAGACTGGTTCACACAATACTCCCTTGCTCATCTTTACAGCACCCTGTGTTCTTGCAGCTGAAATATTTTTCAAACTGTCGTATGCCACTGTAAATTTGGTTTCTGCTGGTAGGCGTCATCTGCCAAGCCAAGGTATCTCTCTTTTTAACACTTCTCACACTTCTCATTAGTGATGACAAACAGGCAACAACAAGGTTTTCCCTCTCAAAACTACTGAAAGATCTTGTACGGAACAAAAAGACATGCAATACAGGAAGTATAAACTGCAATGTAAAAAGAAACACCTTATTTTCTTTATATTTATCCAAAGTGACTTACAAGGGAGGATCAACAATGCAGCTCATAACAAAAGCTAACAATAAAGTTGGCTGCACATCCCTGCTAGAGTCGGCAGCGATGTACAGTGTATAGGAGCAACCACTGCTAATGTCGCTTTCAAAATGAGGTCTATCAATTTTTCAAAGCATCCTATTTAGCATAAACATAATCTCTTTCATCCAGATTTGGAATCTCGGTATTTGCAGGGGATAATAAGGTGAGTGATTTCAAGAGAAAGTGACAGCGAACCATGAGTGTAAATGCCATGCACATAGAGCAAAATCCGCCTGCTCAAGAACATTTAGTTGGCACAGAGTTGAGGAGGAGTCAATGTGATCTTTTCCTGTCAATAACAGCCCTGGACAGTCAAGGTCATCCTGATAAGAAGCCCCATTGTCTCAAGCCAGAAATGTAAACACTAGAGGCTCCCAAGACACTTTTTATGTAACTACACAAGAAATGCTTTTAAACTTAAACTGACTTTGTGTGATGCCAGTGTATCTTGATCAAGCTTGATTTTATTCTAACAGTTTCATAAGCACGTGTTTTTTTTTTATTAAAACACAACTGATTAATATTTTTAAATGGTTAACAGTTTATAAAAAATAATGATTAAACTTTGGGAAAGTAAAGAGCTGAGGTAACCCTGTGACATTTTTTAGTAGAGAAGCACCACTGAAAAAATGTGACGCACTACAGTTATGCATGCAAAGTAACAACATCACTGATTGACACGTTGTGCTATGCAAATGCTTTGTCTGTGCTCATGAAGATGTACATATCGCAAACAGCGCATGACACTTCTGAAAGCCTCACAAGGTGGTCAGGCAATCATCAAGTTTAGAGAAGAGAAAAAAGAGAGATGACACCAGTGCAAAAAAGTTATTTAGTCTGTCTTTATAACACACAGCATATTTTACACCCTTCATCCCAATCAACGTGCAATTTGGGGGGGGATATTGTACCTGACAGGAATTGATTTTCTGCAAAATGTGTTTCTCTCAATGTGTGACTCTCAAAAAAAATGTTTTTAGGTTTTCCAGTATGTGGCAAGCAAGACAACTAACAGTCCAGAGCACTCCAATAACTTAATCTTAATAAAACTAAAACATAAACCGTATAAGAATAGGATTAAACAGACATAAATGCTTCACTTCAGACAAAAAAGAGCATTTTTTGAAATTTTACATAAAAACCAGGCTAAATAAAGTGAATTGTACACTAATAAGAAACCAAAGGTTAAGATACTTCAAAGAGAAATGGTGAAGTAGACTTTTTTTATTTGCTGTTTTAAGACTTTTATCTACATTTAGCATAGGACGAGGGTCTGTAACTTTTTCAATTCTATGCTGACATTTTTACTCTCACTCCTTAAATGAAATGTGTCCTGAAGAAATGAGAGAGGGCAGAAGAGATTATATGAGGCAAAAAAACAAACAAACAAACAATGAAGAACAGAGTTTTAAAATACTAAGGTCAGCTTTTGTACTTTTCCAGGTAACACTGTATCTTCCAGTTATTGTGGAAGGCTTTTACCGAAACTCTTTTTTTTCTCCCTGATCTGATTCGGCTTTACAGTCGACTCTTGGTTGCAGTATCTCCTTTCGCCACTAGGTTTCCCATCGGCCTATCAACACTCTCCTCGGTGCTTACGACAAAATCGGGAAGCAGCGAGCTGCTCGCTTTGTTTTGTTTTGGTAGTAGGAGTTGGAGGACCAGAGGAAGGCCGACAGACAGAGGTCCTCGTGGGGCAGACCTGCTCGCTAAATGGGGAGAGCTAAATCGGGGATGGAAGATGACGAACCGATAGCTGACGCCTGCGAGATGCCGAGCTTTATAAGCAATTTCGAAGAGGGAAGGGGGAAATTGTCCCGCAACCACACGACAGGAACTTCCATCACGGACGGCGAAGTTGAGATGCCAGTAGGGGGCCTGAACCGATCTGTCATCCGTTCAAACTCCCGGTTGTCCCTCGATGGAGGCGACGGGAGGACGCGGAAGAGGAGAGGCGAGGGAGAGAGGGATGCGGAGGGCAACAACAACAACAACTGCAACAGCGGAGGAGTCGGAGCAGCAGGGAGGAGGAGAAGGGCGAGCGCTGTGGAGGTTCTGAGGAGGAATTTCGGTGATACCAAGTCGCCCTCTCGCTGTTTTAGTGCAAAAAGTCGGATGCAGAGCGGAGTGGAATATGGAGCCGGCGGAGAAAGTGGTAATAACGACTGTAAGGACGTGGATGGAGCAGAATGTGGTGAGTGTCCAAAGTCGGACGCAGAGACGGGAGGAGCCGGTGGTAAAAACGAGCTGCCTTTAAACGAGTTGACGACTTCAGATGTTACAGGAGTTAAATATTTAAAGGCCAGAGATAAGTGGCACCCTAAAACTGAAGACGACAACAACACTGTGACTTTAAGTGAGTCGTTTAGTGCCAAAGAGCACGTGTACTGTACGGTATACTGCATTGCCAACGACACTCAACGGACAGATGCTGAAATCACGGACCGCTACGACGACGCTGTCACATCTGACGAACCAGAAACAGACTTGGAGACTGTAAAGGTGGAGGACCACGGCACCGAACCGGTACTGTACACGCTGGATGACCTGGTGGACCCGCTCGGGAACATATCCCACCGCCTGGATGGGGTGCAGGCCGGTGCGGAGAGTCGGATAGAGGATTGCCGGGTGTGCCTGGAGGAGAAACCCATCGCATCCCTGCTCTGCTGCGGGAAGGCCTTGTGTGAGGAGTGTCTGAAAATCTACGTCAGCTCCCTGGTTGGTGGTCTTGCAGTGGCGTTTCTTTCTTGAGCCCATTATTCTGCACCCTGTCATACAGGTTCAGCTCAGTAAATTAAAATGTAATCTGAAACTTAACTCATTTCTCACGGTCAAGTCAAAGAGTACAAGTAATTTGTTGTTCTTAGGATGACTTATTTATAGGTACAACTTTATTGTCCACCCAAGGTGGAAATTTTCCTTCGGCTCTCCAACCGTAAAATGAAAAACATTCATACAATCACAGTATCATCTATTTGTACATAGAATAAAACACTTTCCTTAAGGAAAACATTTCAAATTAATGTTTTGAAGACAAAACATTAATTTTCTATTACACAATAAATATTACACAAGACCACTGAAATAGGATATTTAATACAGAAATAGACAATAATTCAATAATGAGGACTGTTGTCTAGCAGATGGTCACTGACACGCTGCACAAGGAATTAAAGCGGAAAAAGATTAAAGATGCCTTTTCACAGAGCGCTGTATCCTAGCATATTCATAGAAAGTAGAGTGGAAGGAAAAAGTGTGGTCAAAAATGTGTACAAGTATCACAGATATTGTGAAGCAAACCCATTCATGATTTTTTTTGGAGAGTCACAAGTTGTGAACTGCAGCTGGAGTCAGTGTTTTTCTTCTTCTTTTTTTTATAGCCACTACACAAAGATGTATTCTGGATATGTGCTATTACCGCCTTGGGGTAAAGGCACCCCTGAACAAGTTATACAATCAAAGGTTTTGCCTTGGGTATGGACAGAAAGTACTGGACTGTTACTTAATGGCCCAAAGTTTTCTTTTCAGATGAAAGCAAATTTTGCATTCCATGTGGAAATGAAGGTCATGGAGTCAGGAGGAGAACAGTGGAGAGTCACAGAATCTGACATTTTGTTGCATCTTAGTTGCGCCACAGGCTTATCATGTCCATGCTGTGCTGATACAGCAGGTCCTGCACAAGGAGTATGTTTCTTGTGTTTTACAATTATTATTATTTTTTTAATTTTCAGAAGGCTGCTATTTTTGTTTTTAAAATACCCAATTTAGACAAGTGGTCTTATGTAATATTGGAATTTTCTGAGAAAACGTGTTTGGGATTTTCAAAAGCTGTAAAACGGAAACGTCAAAATTTAAACTCTTGAAATACATCAATTTTATTATCGCAGCAATAATTTAATGATATTAGCAGTTTTTGGAACTGCGCCTGTCTACGAGTATTTATGCATCAGTACAATTACACAATATTGAATTCATGAGAGTAAGATAAGCTCTTTTTTTTGTCAACTTTAAAGACATACATCATTTTCTCTTATTTTTTAAAGAATAGTAAGAATGCATTCATTTTACTTTTGACAGTATTTTCAGACAGTGTTTCTAGAGTCCATAGTCATTGTAGAATAATTCTGTAATACAGAGCAGCAGGCCTGACTTATCGATGTAACTTCAGGTTCTGTTCTAAACTTCGGATATTTCACTTCCTGCAGACACTGTGGTAATTTATGCAGGAAACCGAATCTGCTCTGGGGCAGGCCAGGTTTCCAGATTAGAGGTCAAGAGCATTAAGCACATCTCTCATCCAGCCAATACGCTGAGAGCAGTGAAAGGTGAAAGAGATGATAATGCAAAAACAAAATTTCCCTTTTTGTTCTCAGAGAGTTATTGGGTCTATAAGCAGAGCTCATAATCATGTAGCTGAAACAGAGACCACTTCCTCTGAAGTTTGGTACTGTTAGAAGCTAAAGATCAAGAAGTAAGATCAAGGACTTTATGCTGTTACCCTGGTCTTTGTACATTTGTATTAAAATCACAAATCACCTGTAACACCTTTTATGTGACACTGCAGAAACTGGAGTTAGACATTCATCATATCCTCACCAACTCGAACAAATCATTTTTACCTTTAAACACTATTGCACAAATATCACAGTGGCAGTGTGTAAAGTAAACAAAAAAAGAAACATGCAAATACAAGACATTAGACACATTCATGCTTGGATCATTTGACTGCAATGTTATTATTATATTACTTCCTCCATGCTTCGTCCTTTCTTTGCCAGCTAGCTTGGCGATACGTCTGAAAACACAATTTTCTATGTTAGTGTTAGTTAGGGTGGAAAACCTGAACATGTTGAACCTGCGACGTCGAATAGAAACTATGTTTGATCTATTTTTGAATCTAGCCTCAATTTACGATTATATCTATGCCAATAAAGCATTGAAGAACAATGCTGTCCCAATTTGTTTAAAAAATAATAAAGTATCCCTTAAATTAGCACCAAATTAAAGTCTTATTAACAGAGTGACGCACTGGTTGAGCCGTATTGTCCATATCCATATTGGTGTCACGATGGGTTCACCAATCGTGACACCAATAATAAGTAGGGAATAAGTAGGAATAACCCTACTTATTCCCTTGGATAAGTAGGGAAAAGGAGGGTTGCTGTCGCCTATCTCTTAGATACAGTCACTGCTGATAAATATCCAGCAGCTGGTTGATGAGTCTTAGAGCACGTTATTCTTTGTCACGCTTTCATACGCCATATTTAGCATCCCAGAGGCATTTGGGTCCAGCCTCCAGTTCTGGGAAATTCACCAGAAGCTGACCCCACATGTTTAAAATACTTAATGGAATATCTAGATTAAGAGGTCGACCTAAGCTGTTCGGCATTAACTCACAAGCGGAGGACTGTGTTATGAAATGTTAACCAGAAAGTTAGAAGTCAGCACCTGAAGGTCTCTTTGTCTTGTGACAAATACATATTTTGTGAATCTAGGTCAAGGCACCAGAAGAAGCTCAAACAGTTTATATAACAGCCGACTTTGGAAACTGTGGAGCGTGTTCAGATCCTGGTTCCAAATGGTTCGCTTTTCTTCTGAAGTACATCATCTGACGCCGTTAACACTTTACCAAAGCGACAGATGAGGGCCCATCCTCTTCTGGATTACTTCCTAAAGACACGTCTTCTTTGTTGATGCCTGGAATATTTTTGTTGGCACACCAGCAGGGTGTTGCAGTCGGAACCATTTTTCCAGTGATTTAGTGTGATAAATCGAGCATATTAATAACCGATAGGTGAAAATCCACTTCCTCTAATAAGCATTTTGCAGCAGAATCAAAATCTGCTCTTACTTTACACCTCTCTGGATGGATTATTTTTATTCTTTAAGCCTCACCTCTGTCATGAGATGGTATCTTCTAAACACTGTCTGTTATGCAGCATTTATGCAGCTTCTCACATCACTCAGGCCGCATGGAAGTTGCAACCGTTGCTCTAATCTGCTTTAATCTGTTTATGTAAAACTGTTTAATCAGTCATTTGAAGTAGATTTTTGTCTGCTGTTGTGCTACTTTGATAACAGGTTTTGAATAATAGTACAGTCACAGCCAAAGGTGCGCCATCTGATAAGCAAGCCAAACATGAAAATGGTCATAAAAAAAACTTGCCTCGAGGCGGTGTTCTTATTCAGGTGAATGGACTGCAGGCTGATTTTAGCACACAGGCCTGGCATTGAGCGTAGAGAGTAAGTGTTATGTCAGAGAGGGTTGGTGGAGACGAGGTCGTGCTTGTTTGGCTCCAAAACCACGTTTCAACAGTGATTAAAGTTGCAAAATACTTGCTATTGTTTTTTTTTTTTTTAGCCTCTTCGTACCGGTGGAATATTTTTAGAGAATACATATTATTCAGTAATATCACACAACAGATTCCTCGTTATCAGTGGTTTTATATCAAGCAAAGATGAAGCCAAATGGAGAGAGAGAGAAGAAAAAAACTATGTGGAAAAACTTGTACCTACTGTCACAACCAGACCCAATTGATCAGATGAATTTGCCATCAACAATTAATCAAATGCAGAAGCTTTAGCATATGCTGTATGGTAACACCGTTTCAAAATGGAAAGACATCTGAATTAACATAAGAGAAGCAATTTTTTTACTAACCATTAAAATCAATCAGTTGCATCATTCCCAAAGAATTTGTAGTTTATTATTCTGGAGTTAGATTGATTATTAACTATAGGAAAGCACTTAAGATACCTGTCAGTCTTTTAAAGGCAGACATCCCATTAAATCCATACCAAAACCTAAATAAAGTGGAAAAAAAGCCACTGAAAGGGACATTAAATGTTAAAGTTCATCACAGTGCAATAACAAAGACTGGAGAATACATTCTTGTTCAAGATGAGATAACACTGGCCTTTTCTTGTCCAAAGAATTTTTTTTTGCCTGGTGCAGGCACTTGGGTGCAAAATCCATAACCACTAACTACATTCACATTTAGAACCAGGATTTGCACATAATATCAAGTTTTTACCTGTTTTTAGCAACTATGAACTCGACTGTGTAATATGCTAAACAAACCTTCCAACAGACGTGTTGCAGCGGCCCAGTCAAAGTCAAGACCTCACTGTTACAGAAATGCTGTGTCGGAACTAAAGAGAACTAGTCATAAAACAGATACTTGCGAAACTCGATAAACCGAATAAATGTGGTACAAAATTCCTCCTTAATGGAAGTGAGCTGATGAAGTCACGCAGAAAAACAGCAGCTTGAAACTGTGACTGCTAAAGGTTAACGTAAGACCTGCTGAGGTCTAGGAGGAAATCGATTTCCACTCGCAGCTTTTTTGTTCAATACATAACCCTAATGGGGAATATGTTGTGTAAGGTTGGGGTTGGATTTGGCTGAAAATAACTCATCTCCATTCTTGTGTGAAACGAGAGGCTACAAGAGGGGTCACCGTGGGTTAAATGTAAATTTTATTTAACATTGGATCGTGCGGAGCCCTGTTGGAAGTCGCACAATAAAATAAATGCCTTTCCAGGAATCAAAATCCATTTCAGGAGTCAAACCGGATCTTATCGATATTTCTGGTTGCAGCATATTATGTTGACCTAGTTTGTTTCACACCGTTGATGCAAAAATACTTAGCACCCGAACACATTCGGCCTCGTGTCACGCTGTCCACACAATAATGAGGCGCGTGTTTGTGAGAAGA